CTGGAAATATTTTTTCCCCAGTGCAACAAAGTATGAACTTTATAAGTTTACAAGGCATCTCTGGTATTCGGAGCTCAGCTTGTATAACCTGCTCGTTCTTCAGAACTCTACTAACTTCAATAGTGTCTTGTTTAATAGGCATCTTAAGTATACATATGCATAAATTTTAATTTAAAGTCTTGTATTGTTCACTACGCCAAGCGTAACTAAATAGCTCATTTTCTTTGGCATTGTTAGTTTCTGGTTTGTGAATAGATTGCAGTGTTTTAACAAAACACTTCTAACTTTAATATCGTTGATTGCTTCAGATCTATTGTTTTCGTATACTTTAAATCTAACTTTGTAAACACTAAGAAGTAGTTAGTTCATCGTAAAATCTTTGTCTTTTATTTTTATTTTGAAGTTATCAGTTCTTTTGAAGTTAAAGTTCAACTTAATAACAAGTTATCTTGTAAGTTTTTTCACGTCAAACATTACACCACACCACTTACCGATAAACAGAATTCTATAATAATACGATTTTTCTACTCTTGTTTAATTCTTTTCGTATCGACGAAACAAGAGTAGATAGAGTGCTGGTTTATTTTCTTAAGTAGCTTACTTAACTCTTTAAGATTGAGTAGATAGATACTAGTAAGTTAGTACCTATACCCAGTGGTACTGACCACGCTTTAAACTGCCTAGATTACATAATTAAGTTTACATTACTGACGAGAATAATGACATAATTAACGAAAACTAGGTAACCATTTCTGGGAAAACCATGAATCATGAACGCAATGTATTGTAGTTCTATTAATGTTTACAATTATCTCGTCATTACGAATATTCGGCGCTCCACGTACTGCACCGTGCTCCGTGTCGTATAGCGCGGGATGGCAGTTTTACCATTGTAGAATCTACCATCTCGCGCGTCAGTAGTCTTAGGTGAAAAATTAATTGTGATACTTATTGCATACAATGGTAAAATTAAAATGTCATCATAATCAATAGGCTATAAATGCCCACTGCTGAGCAAAGCCTCTTCTCACAGGGAGAAGGTTTGAGCGTTAATCACCACGCTTGCTCAATGCGGGTTGGCGGCAAATTACAAACTTTTTACAAACTTATAATTAGAAATTATAAGCCCCGGTTTCCTCACGATGTTTTCCTTCGCCGTTTGTTAGTGGTGGCTAGATAATCCTAGAAAGTACATATAAATCGGAAAAGTCACATTGGTATTTGCCGTTGGTAGGTTTCGAATCCGCACACTCATGCATGAGAAGCGGGTGTCTTAAATCTACGCGAGAGGGCGCTGTGCAGGGGTGTGGAGCGCCTTCTATGTATAAAGTACAAGTTTCTGCGAATCCCGAGCGTACGGCGTGTCGCGTTCCGCGCACGCCTTAAAGAGCCATCAGACCACCACAGATGGGGCCCAACAGGGCCGATGCCGATTCGGAGTCGCGGAGAACCTAACGGGTAACCAGGGCTCGGGCTCGACGTGCAGGAAGGAACGGGGTGGTTTTTAGTCAGTAAGAGTCTGACATTCCCTCCCACCTCACCCAGGCGGGAGCAGTCAGTAGATGATTTTCACCCCTTAAAAAAAAAAGAGCTGCGAATGGCTTCGTCAGGGTTTCGTAGATAAAAAATATCTTTTATGTTATTTCAGACTATATCTATCTCTGTACACGTCGAAATAAGTCCAGTAGTTTTTCGTGAACGAGCAACAAATATACATAGGTACATACACCCTAACAAACTTTCGCATTCATGACTTTAGTAGGATCTTGATTCGTGTGTTTTACTCGTTTGTTTGTTGTTTTTAAGGCTGAAGTTCTGAATTAATTTTCATGTTGACCTGTATCAAGGCAAGCTGGGTTGTGCTGCAGGTATATTGTATGTTGATACCTACTTGATATTAATGTCACGGCTATTTTATGTCGCATGTAGGTACGACTAAGGATACATCTAGAATATTATTATACAACTGTCTGTGGTCTGTATTTATTTTTAACCAACCTGTATGCACTAAAGTGCAAATGTGTAAGTAATAAGGTAAAAGATAGTCACAGTAAGTTTCAATTTATATAAATTAATTGGTAAATATTAAATACCTATGCAATTGCAATATGCAATATTTAATGCATATGCAATTAAAAGTTATTTAAATTAAATTTTATAACAACACGCCTTTTATCCCCGAAGCAGTAGGCAGAGGTGTACATTATGCCACTGTACAATGTAACACCCACTTTTCGCTATTTATGTTATGAGTCCCAGGTAATAGGGGGTGAGCCTATTGCCATATAACGGGCACAATTCCAGACTCCATGCTACTAATGCGAATGTTTTTTTAAAAACTCAGTAATACTTTGCCCGACCCGGGAATCGAACCCGAGGCCCCTTGCCCGACAGTAGCACTTGCGACCACTCGGCCAACGAGGCAGTCTAAATTTAATTTTAATATAATATTTTTTCGTTTTCGTTAAATCAAAACAATGTATTATTATATCAGAACTTTTACCACTTTTCGTTAAAGTACTATATTTAATTTACTTACTAGAAATTCGTGTCTTGATCTAAAATCAATAAATGAACAGTAAAAACATAAAAAATCAATTGTTCAATTTATGGAAACGGTAATAGTTGAGGAAAATCCATTGTCCTTGTTAAGTCCATCCTCCTTCCCTCACATTCAACAAATGCAATAAATTCTTATTGTTTTATGTAATTACTAGCTTTTACCCGCGGCTTCGCTCGCGTCACAAAAGTATAAAAAGTAGCCTATGTGATATATACCAATACACACAGCGCCATCTATACCAATTCTTTGGTTTTCCCTCGGGAATATCAATTATTTCCGGGATAAAAAGTACTTCGAACTTTACGTCTGCAAAAATTCAAAGCAATCGGTTTAGTAGTTACTGCGTGAAAGCGGAACAAACAAACAAACTCACTTTCCGATTTACCTCTATAATATTAATAAGGATAACTAAACAAAACAACAGATAGGGAAATTAAATTAATGAAGGTGGTATTTCCGAGTGTTGAATTGGTCGAGGGTGACTAATAGACAATATCTAATGTACCTTATTTATAGGTGTTTATTATCTGTGAACCATGGGAAAAATAAAGCACCTTTAAAAGGGCGTTTGTGACACACCTCGACATTAAATAGAATAGTAATTAGGTTAAATAGGTATCTGGATAAAATAATGTTAGACTCTATCTCTATTGGTTTTTTAATGTCGTTAAAAAGTTTATTTAATTAGGAAATGGTGGAAAAGAAGTACCTAACAGATACAACTGTTTTATCGAGGACATAACCAAAATAGTGATGTCGTTAGGGAAAATTGGTTTTGTAGAATATTTTACTTTCATTTCGGCAATTGGGTACATTTTTTCGAACTGTCAATAACGACAGTTATCTATGAATTTTGTATGAGGTTGTGTATTATGATTGTGACGTCACGTTTTTTTGGCGTCAAACAGTATAGGTGTACTTTGCTAAAAATTTGCTGGAAAAATAACAAAATTAAGCTAGTCATAAAATCAAATAATGACAGTGTGATTATTTTTTTAAATTTATTGTATTGAACAGTCCAAATAATTTATTTTTCATTAAGAAAAATTCCCAATTTAAACAAGTATAACAATTGTCTTAGGATATTAATTTGTAGTTTTATTCATTTTCCGAGAGCATGACGGTGTCGGAGAAATATAATTATGACCTAATCCTGTTATATTATATTAGTGCCTATATTACTTACGTATTTGTCTATATGAACCACCAATGAAAGATAATCATTATAATGTGTGCCTATGTTGGCTGACAAATCTATGCGTATCGTCTCGGTATTCCCAATCCTTAGTTACACGGTTATCATGCCATCAAGATACACTGTATTATTTTATTTCAAATGATTATTTATTTATTTATTGTACCATATCTCAAACGTAGATCAAATTCTTTATCTGAACTGATTGATAAAGTCAATATTTCGGGGACACAACTGTTCAATAGTTTGATACGAATTGACGTGTCTTAAAATGGGATCATCCGGTAAGCCTATGTCACGTTTTGTCTTTATTACGTGGCTCTCAACTTCAGAGCAATATTCGAATTTTTATTAAATTAAATATCTACAGCTAGTACATATTTGAAATTAAATACTATTTGTTAAACAAAGTGATGTGTTCCATCTTTATTTGTCTACTAGCCTTTATATTCGTGTTTAATTTTTTTAAGTGTAAGGAAATACCTACGTATTTTTCTATTAGTTTCTAACAGGTTATCTTTTATTGCTATGCAAATGTATAATTGCAATGTATATAAATACGTAAATGACATGAATGCTTCATGTAAATTATTGTGGATTTTTTATTGAGTGAAGTGAATCACGTTATCCGCATTTACAATAATTACCAGTAGTAAACAAGTAAATCGTTTGGATACGTTTTCGAGATGCATTCTATGTCTAACTAAACTTTACGTATTAAATGTAATACATGCGGGTGTTTCGTCTCGCTCCGTGATATCAGCGTGGATAATCATATACCTAAGATTATCATGATTATACCTATTTTTCTTTAAACGTCCATGGTTGTTCCGAACATAGGTATTTGTTTTACCTGTAGGTAAACAACCACTAACAATACCCTCGTGTGGTCGTCACTCTGAATTGTAAGGTATTATAATAGTGTTCAACATAATCTGTTGGAAATTAAAAACAAACAAGTGTTGTTAGACCAGTAGCAGGTTTGTGTAATGACAGCAAAACTGTGATAGAACTCTTCCCCTCCATAATAAGCCGTTATGTAATTCATGCCACTTGAAGATTTACTAGATGTCGAATTGTGGGATGCAATTTTATCTTTTATCAAAATGTTACACTTCACATGTTACTATGTCTTATATAACTCATTGATCGGATAAGATTATAATATTTACAATGAAACTAAACATAGATACATTAGATACTCATGGATTGTTTTCCATGGTTTCAGATCCTTCGCAGAAAATGGCGGGCGGAGTGACAGGCGTGCTCCTGTACGCGGTGAGCGCCGCGGTACTGGGCATGCTGCAGTTTGGCTTCAACACGGGTGTCATCAATGCTCCACGTCCCTTCATCGAAAACTTCATCAGTACACAGTACGATGTAAACCCCGGCACCATATTCAGCGTCATCGTCAGTATCTTCGCTGTCGGTGGTATGATCGGATGTCCTTTCGCCAGCTGGATGCTTGAAAAATACGGCCGCAAAAACGCACTTGTCGTCAATTCAATGATTGGAGTCCTTGGTGCTATCTTTATGGGTTTCAGTAAACTTGCAGACTCAGTAGAAATGATCATTATTGGTAGATTTATCATTGGAGTTAACTGCGGCTTTGCAACAACAGCTTCCCCCACTTATGTATCAGAAGTAGCACCGGTGAGGCTGAGGGGAGCGTTTGGTACAGTAAATCAGCTGGCTGTCGCATTCGGATTGGTTGGAGCTCAGATCTTGGGTATCGATATGATAATGGGAAGTGATGAAGGATGGCCGTGGCTGCTTGGACTTGCAATTTTCCCATCAGCTATTCAGTTCGTGATGATTATATTTGCACCTGAAAGTCCTCGTTACTTACTGCTCGTCGCTCGGGATGAAGAGACCGCTAGGGCTGAGCTAGCTAAAATCCGTGGTACGAATGAAATCGACGATGAGATCAATGATATGCATGTAGAAGATCGTGCAGCTAGACAGGAGGAGAAGTTCTCTATTCTAGACTTGTTTAAGATTAAAGCTCTGCGTCAGCCACTAATTATTGGAATCGTGATGCACTTGTCTCAACAACTGGGAGGCATTAATGCGGTTCTGTATTACTCCACCACGATATTCGTGAATGCAGGCCTAACACAGGAGAATGCGCGGTTGTCTTCAATAGGTGTTGGTAGTATGTTATTTATTATGGCTCTCGTGTCGATTCCCCTTATGGACCGTCTAGGAAGACGAACACTACAGCTGGTTGGACTTGCAGGTATGGCACTGTTTTCTGTGCTCATGACTGTTGCTTTCTTCACTTATAACGATAACACTACGATGAGTATATTTGCCGTTATATTTACGTTCCTGTACGTGGCGTTCTTCGGAGTGGGTCCTAGTTCGATTCCGTGGATGTTGCTGTCAGAGCTGTTCGGGCAGGGCGCCCGCAGTGCGGCGGTTAGTGTCGGCGCCCTCGTCAACTGGTTCGCTAACTTCATCGTAGGGTTAACTTTCATTCCGATGTCTGACGCGTTCGGCAACTACGTGTTCTTGCCGTACACTGTCCTCCTCGTTCTATTCTTTATATTCACGTACCTGCAGTTACCAGAGACGAAAAATAGGACGATCGAAGAAGTGACAGCTCTCTTTAAGAAGTAATAGAGTCTAGACTTAAGCGACATTCCTTAGAAGTAAGCATAATATTGCGACCTGCAATAACTTTACACAGCGTTTATGTGATAGAACTGCATGAAATTCGATTTACTTGAATAATATAGATGCGCGAGTGTTATCTATGTCCTTTCTACCAGATTTATATAAAATGGAAGACTGAACACCAAACTTATATTAAATGGAGTCGTTTAAAGATTCTTCATACTTGATATACCTTTGAATGAAGTACTTATTTAACGATTAATCTAACTAAACTACAAGTATTTTAGATGACGATTAATGTATTAATAATTCCATTTATAAATAAAAAAAATATGGATCCCTATTTAGAAATCATGATATTTATATCTATTGTATTAAAATGTAGTGGATAAGTAAAAAGGTTCATAAATATTCACTTTGTGGCGATTGTACGCAAATCATAATTTGTGTTGATGTTACGAACAACATTTTATTGTTAATTTATTGATGAATGTGTTATTCTTTGTTTGTATGTTATTGTTGTATTTCCGAAGGTTCGAGGACCAAGTTTTTTGTGTATAAACTTTATATTGTTATTTAGATACTATTAAGTTTACATGGTGCTGGTAACACCGAATTTGGACAACGCACTTTTTGATTTTTGTATATTTTTTGGTGCTTTCTTATTTTTTTTCGATTATCTATTCTAGTGCCTTAACTTTTGTTTGACAGTGACATTAGAGGGTTTTAGACCGGATTCACTTAAATAAATAGATTATATCCGGCATAGCGGCGCTAGACTCTCATGAATTCTCTCATAGAAAGTTCTAAACTCGTATATATTTTACGAATAAAATCCTGCGCCGTTGTCTCTATTCAATTATATGTAAGCTACTACAGTTAAACTATGTACCTAATTCGTCACGTACCGAAAGCGTCAGTACCTAAACCATATTTTCCATATGATATTATTATGATATTGTAATTAATAAATTGTTAGTGAATTGTATACTGTATAAAATATGTATTTACACTATTATATTCGTAGTAGTATGGTGTTGACTGGAGACTCCGTAAATTCGTCAGGGCACACTTGCTACGATTCAAATACTTGAATTATAAGACAATTTTATAAACATCGACCAGTCCAACATCAGTTTGATAATTCTCGGCAAAATAAGTAGAAAGTTTAAAATAATTATAAAAATACTTAATGCTAAGCATGCAATACCTCAATAGTTGATAAATGTATGAAAATGCACTTTCTAATTAATGTTCACACTAATCAATAGTTTGTATGTATAAAGTTAAAAAAAAAGATAAAATTATGCGCTGGCAATATTCGTGTACCTACTATTCCAATTTAAAAAAAAGAACTGTTTAAAAATTCAAATCGGTGTTTGCTATTTACGAAGATTGGCGAAGACATACAGCTCTGCACTGTGAAAAATATTTTAATTGAGAGTTAAACCTCTTTGTTTGTGTAAATTAAGTCTTATATGTAGTTGAGGGAGTGTGAAACCATCTTACCGTCCCAATGTACCTTAGTGCCAACTGTGTGTTTGTACTATAGACATTTCGTTAATTAGGAAAATGTTCAGCTCAATCTTCACAGTATTTTCTCTTTCCTATTTTCTGGAATATATCCTATTCCCTTCTCGTTCTTTCAAAGAATGTACGAGTAAAATGCATGTTTGGCGTGTCAATCTTAAAAATAAATATAATACATCAAAATTATAACTACAGAATACAAATGTCTGCTATATGCAGCTCTTGTTATCGCGTAGTTTCTATTTCGGCTATAAATTTAATGAAATACTTAAATAGTTTTTAAAAGTGATAATTTTTATATGCACAATTAAAACCTATTTTGAATATTACTCATTGTCGGGAAAAAAATGTGAACTCCATTTTGTAAGCAAACAAATTTCTTTATTAAGTATATTTTATAATATTATTGACTTTCCAAGAAAACCCAATTTCCAATCAGATATTTTATGTAATTTAGATAAATAATGTTTGTTACTTATTTTTAATAAACACATTTTTATTATTTGTCTACAAATATAATGAAGCACGCACGATAAGTTTCGGAACATGTATTTTATTTTATTTCTACTTTATTTTATTGTGATTGTAAATGAATTTAAATAATTTTTGTATTATTGTATTTACTATTAATGGTAAGGATAACTCCGGTTTAATGAAAGGAAGATGTAATCTTTTGTAATTAAGATAGTTGTCGGTATCGAGATCGACATTTTTACCGATTAATCGGATGTGTTCAATTACAAAAGTGAATATCTAATTTTCATGTAAACTAGAGATTGATATTAATTATGTAGCCTAGTATTACGACACTATATTGTACCTAATTGAAACAAATTATAAAAAGCAACAAAAAATAAAACGAATTTAATTCGTCTGTTGATATTAAATTATTACTACATTAGCAATATGTATTTTAATTTCAATCTCCTAGCTTTTTACAATTCTTTAAAAATAAACAAAACCACCATCGATTGTAGAAAATCCTTCGAATAAATTTAATTGGGTACGTATATCAAATAATTATATGTAATCACTAATCAGAAAATCAGAGCAATCAATCGATCGTTCGAATCACTGATATCGATAACTAGTGATGTAATATGACGATTATAAGTCATCGTTATCGTTATCAATTAGTGCTAATCGATAAAAAATTTAATTGCGGTCATTCAGATTATGACGTTTATTGATTACTTAGCAACTACATACATAGTTTGTTTAAGAAATGAGCAAACGTGAGTTTAATTGGGTAAAAAACGTGATTTTGATTCTAGGGCTTATTTAGAATCACTAGTGGGTTATCTATCTTAGAGTTAATTAAAATTTGTCTACATTACAAGTAAATAAATTAATTCTGGAGGACGAATAAAATAAAAAAGTTTACATTAATCTCAACAAAAAATAAATAGGTACTTAAGTAAGTATTACCTTTTATATTTGCTGCCTCGAATTGTCATATACTTAACAAAAATCCAGGAAAACCCACTCGTTCCCTGAAGATCAAAACCAATTGACTACTTATACAGTTCGACCTTTACTACATATATTTCAGAATCTATTTGAAACTGAGCTTAAGCTCATCAGAAAAGATTTTCTCCTAACACAGATATACTAACCTTTACCTATAATACTTATGGAAAATAGAATTTTAATAATGAATCTATGGGTAAATTGTCTACACTTATGTGACGTTCAATTATCGCCACACAATGCTGAGAACAGCTGCAGTGCTTCATTTTGTTCCTCCTCCTCCACTTCACCTTCCAACCAGAATGTTTCCATTGTACCTTTGCCCTGTGGAAATTAATAACAATAAAGACCAAACTCCATAAGCATCTAGATAGGTACTCATCGCTACAGATACAAAATCAAAATAAAAAATGGGACGAATAAGTCCCAAATTTATTATTACCTTCACTTTGATAGGACCTCTCCGGCGGAGCCTGAATCTTCCAGCCGGTAGCTGGTCTGCCGCGATTGCTGATATTTGAACGCGACCAGGCTGCAAAACAGAATTTTCTTTTTGAGATCTGGTTTGTGTCCCAAAAATTGCAAAAGACTAGATACTTAAACTGCTGAGGTCGACTAATAAGACAGGTAAAGCTTTACCTTTAGTCTTACTTAGTTTTGAATTTTAAAACGAATTTTTGCACAAGGTAGTATTGTCTTTAAATGACAAAATCTATTTACCTCTGAAGAAGTTTGCATCCTGCTAGCAGTGTTGACCGTGTCTCCTACTAAGCAGTACCGCGGTAGGCGCAGTCCCAACACGCCTGCAACGACTGGCCCCGTGTGGATTCCTGTTCAATTTGAACACAGTACAATTTCAAATCATTCTAAAAACCAATCAAAGAAAAATACTGATTACTTAGTTGTTAGTGTAAATTTTTTTACCAATAGTAAGTGCAGGGATAGCTCGTGAGATGGCAAGGGCAGCGCTGGCAGCGGCAGCCGCATGCGCACGTCTCCGTTCTGGAGCTCCAGAGACCAGCATGTAAACAGTACCCACTGTCTCCACCTGAAATATATTCATATTTAGTACCTACTGAATTTATTCGCAAATATTAATATTAGGTAGAGCAATTTATTGATCAACAGCACCTTATAAACGCGATGTGTATCCAGCAGCCTGTCGATCCTCGAGTATACGTCGTTCATGTAGGCGACAGTTTGCATCACGTCAGCTCTGGTACCTGCCTCCGCCAGTTGTACGGCGCAGAATATTATTGTGACGTTTTCAAATGCCTGAAACCATTGTATTAAATGGTAAGTAGGTCGAATTAAAATATCAAGGTTAAGTGTTGAATTATATATTAACCTGACAAGCGGCCATAGGATCCTTCCCAGCTCGTAGATGATCAGCAATACCTTTCGGTATCATGGAGTACAACAATTGATCTCCCCTCTTCTTCCACTGATCCAGAAGTCTACACGACTTCTCTAAAGACAAACTCCTGTTTTCTGCCTTTTCAAACAGCAGTTCAAGTCGAGAGACGTGCTGCCATCCCTGGAGTAGCATTTCTTTAGAAAGGCCATGGCCGTTCATGTCTGCTAGGAAAATACCAGCTTGATGAAGTTCATCGAGGTCGTTGAAACTGTAATTAGAAAATAAATAGAACTTATTATTGCATTAGGTATTGAAGTAAAAATATATCAAAAACTTATTTTTTACTTACAGTGGACTACATAGAAATATGAGGGCGTCTATTTCTTCTAGCAGATATATAGGTCCTCGTAGCAGAATGGAGCGCGCTCCCTGTGAACCCCTCCTCACTTCAGCACAGTTTCGAGAGCGGTAGCGTAGCAACTCTAAGTCGAAGATCATGGTCTGCATGCACACAACCTGAAGAAAATATTTAACGACATCTGAGATTTTGAAATGATAGAGGAACTAACATTGGTTTTTTATGCAAGTCCTTTATTTATCAAGAAAAATACTTGAAACTCAAATACTATCTACCTTGTCCCATGTAAAAGGTACTTTAGGTTTCCTCAGGCGTAAAATTTCGGAGATTGCAGACTTCTCTAGGCGATTGAGTGGTCCACCCCAGGCTGCTACCAGCTGTAAATTATATTTAAGTATTATCAATACTAGCTTCAGAAGTAGGTCGTCATTCTCATTCATTCTATGTAAAAAAAAATAGTCGAGTACCTAATACTATTCGTGTTTGCTAAAACTTACTCTTTCACCAGCCTTCAGGATCTTCATTCTCCTGTCGAGCAGCACTCCAAAGGGAAACAGCTGCAGTAGTAAGGTGGCCGGTACCGCCGGCAGAGGGCAGGGCAGGGACTTACGCAGCATTAGAGACTGGACCTAGAAAGAATACAGCAGTCGGTCAAGCTTGATGATGGTTCGTCTAATTGGCGTGAATTAAGGGCTGGCGTTCCTCAAGGCGGTATACTATCTCCTCTTCTATTTTCTATTTTCATTAATTTTATAACTTCTGAACTTCGGTGTGCGTACCATCTGTACGCTGACGACTTGCAGCTATATCGTCAAGCTCATGTTGATGGGCTGTCTGATGCGATCTCGGAGATGAACGTTGACCTGGCGGCCATCCAGAACTGGTCCGATAGGTTTGGCATAGCAGTGAATCCTGGGAAATGTCAGGCCATTCTTATAGGTGGCTCCCGTACGATGAATGGAGTTGACATGGCTTCCTTGCCGGCAGTGGTTTTCGATGGAGCAGTAATCCCGTATAGTGATGAGGTGAAAAACCTGGGACTGCATATGGATAATAATTTGAAGTGGCATGCTCAGGTCACCAGTGTGTGCAAAAAAGTTACTGGATCCATGCGAGCTTTGTATCGTGCGAAAAACTTACTTCCTCCCGCTACGAAGGCTATGTTGGTGCAGGCTTTGGTTTTCCCTATTATCGATTATGCTGATGTGTGCTACTACGACCTGAATGCAGATCTCCTCAACAAACTTGACCGACTTCTAAATAACTGCATTCGATTCGTTTTCAACCTGCGTAAATACGATCATGTTTCTGCACATCGGCTGCAACTGAAGTGGCTGCCCATACGCCAGCGCAGGGAGCAAAGGGCGCTAACCACTCTATTCTCTTTTCTTTGTTCACCTTCTTTACCCAGTTATCTATCCCCTTACTTTCAATACTTGTGCGCAAACCACGGTAAAAACCTTCGTTCTTCCCATAACCGTCTTCTCCAATGTCCCACTCATCACACTGACTTCCTTCATTCTTCCTTTTTCGTGCAGGCAATTTTGATGTGGAATGCGCTCCCCCTGGATGTCAGGATGGTGTCGACACGTCTAACATTTAAGCAGAAAGTGCGTGAGCTTCTTTTGAAGAGGTTGGCTGAATCGTCAAAATAATTATTTACAGAGTATTAGTAATTATGTTCTCATATTTATATTATATGCTATGAGTCTATGTATGTATGTATGTATGTATATTGTAGTGTACTCGTGTGTAGGTATATATATTATTATTATATTTATTTATGTTCATATTTGAAATATGTTAGTGTAATCTTCTATTTTCTCAATTAAATCGTTGCTTGCTTCTTGCTCCTACCATTCACTCTTCTCTGCATCACCCAAAGGTCAGACTGGGAGAAAATGCCTGCGGCATTAAGTCCACCTTGTGTACACCTTGTGCATGAAGCGTTAATAAATAAATAAATAAATATAGGAGGTTTATTTATTTGGAGAACTTAATGCCGTAGGCATTTGTTGACAGTCAACCATTGGGTGGTACAGAATGCTAAATATCATTATCCGCTTTAAAAGGCAGGAGGAAAAAAGAAAAGCAAAAAGTAAGAACAACATCAGGACGCGAATGACGATAAAAATATGAAACAATCCAATAATTATTCTGAAAAGGAAATTAATAGGGCCTCGGCATGTTCTTTAGTCAATTTTGTAGAAATATAATTTTCTATCCTTGAAACATAGGACTTTGAATCTAGACCTGTGTTGACTTGTTCCAATAGATAAGGTCTACGTGATTTAAATTATCTATTACAATCGTTATAAGAGGACTTAGACGATGCAATCTTAATTTTGATGGAGATATTATTATCATAAATAGTTACTGACGATTATTATGTACCGTGACTTTGAAAATTGAGTAAACAATAGAATACAATCAGATAATAGAATATGGTGACGTCTGCTTTTTGTTAATAGCAATAGGAGATTATACATTTCAGAATCCGGACAGCATTGCAGCAGCTGAACTTCAGCCTGCCGAGTGTAGATATTATAGGAAACCCTCTACCTAGTATAGAAGAGATTCAAAGTCTAGACTAACTAGAGGTAGACTGTGCGGGTCTGCGGACGGTATAGGTAGCTCGTAGCAGAACCAGACCCGTACGTACGGCACGTCGCGTTTCGCGCGGCCTTCAAAGAGCCATCAAACCACCATAGATGGGGCCAAGTAGGGCTGATGCCCGATACGGAGCCGCGGGAAGCCTAACGGGTTTCTGGGTCTCCGGCTCGAAGTGCAGGAGTAGGAACAGGGTGGTTTTTAGTCAGAAAGAGTCTGACACTCCCTCTCCCCTAACCCAAGGCGGGAGAAGACATTGAACGATTTTTATCCCTCTTTTTAGGAAAAATAAGACTACCTAGACTGTTACGGGCAGTTGATTTTGAAGTATTCTTTACATTTGGCTAGAAATCCAAATATTATGACTAGAATATAAACCTGGATATTCGGTATTCATCATATTATAGACTGGAAGTTTTCTGATCCGTCATGTAAGTATACAAACCACTAGACACTTTGTATCTGACCATCAAATTACATTTCCATCTCTCGTGCATTTCAAAAACCAGCTCATATATTATTCATGACGTAAACTTAATTTAGTAAAGTAAACATTTCTCACGGAGAGAGTTCATGTTGGATGTTGGTACATTTATGTGGCTGGGGTAGTAAAACTACTCTACATACACAGGGCCGTCTTAGACTACGCTGGGGCCCTTAGGAACACAATAACTTGGGGCCTTTTTGGTATGTTATTTTTAACGTTGCCCCACACTGGGATCTTCTTCAGTGTCGTGGGTGCATTTAGAAGTATACAAAGAAATACAAGTTCACATATACATGACACCCAGACCCAAACGTCATGTCCCGTTCGCATGAAGATTTGCTCCGTGCGGAAATCGAACCGCAAAGTGTCCGTCCTTGAAATTGTCGGTCTTTCGGGGCCCCCTGAGGATAGGGGCTCTAGCCACGGGCCCCGAGTGCCCTTATGGTAAACACGGTACTGTACATACATCACATTTAAATGTAAGTGGTGCAGAAGTGATGGCATAGGTACAGAAGTAGGTACCTATGTTAGGTCCAAAGGACAAATTTACGACAACCTGGTTCATTCAAATGACGGCATCAGCCACTGTAAAATGTAACACGCATATGTCACTATTTATGTTATGAGTCCCATGTAACAGGGGGTGAGCCTATTGCCATATACCGGGCACAATTCCAAACTTCGTGCTTCTACAGATTTTTTTAAAAACCCTGTAATGGTTACTTTGCCCGATCCGGGCATTAAATCCGGGACCTCTCGCACTTGCGACCATTCGGCCAACGAGGCAGGCCACTAAAGAAAGTAAGTCACCGGCATTAGGAATCGATCATTATTTCAATCATTCATTTGTAGGATCTCTTTAAAAATCCACCGAAATATTAGGTACAGAGACTGGCCCGGCATTAGGAATCAATCATTAGCAGATTGATCTTCTGCTAATGATCGGCTGGCCAGTCTCTGTAACTAATATGTCGGGTGGATTTTTAAATAGATCCTACAAATGACAAAATTCATTAAAAATAATAGTATCTACCGATTTGTATACTGTACTTAGCGTCTATCCTAATGTTATCTAGTCCAGTTATCACCTGCAATCAGATGTAAAAACTTCAACCTTAGTTTCCAGGATCTTTACATTATTAAAAAAATCCGTCTAATCTCTTTAACTTATTAAAATGTAAATCTTTAGTTATGTAATCGATAAAGCAATTTACCGAATTCACATTACTTCTATTCTATAGATACGGAAGACAGGGAAATATTATTAAACTTCCAATTCATTGGTTCCGTCCGAATTCCAGCAGGACCGAAAATCAATCAGTGTCGGGAGTCGGGACCGGCACAAAATGTGCCGTTTGCACTTTGAGTAAGTATTTCTTTTCTTGTTACATTATCTTATTTTCGAAATTGTTTACATAATAGACAATTATTTACAAAGATACAGAGATACCGTCAGATATTTTTAATAGATTTTTTAATTAAGATTTGAAGTGTTTTGTAAGTGTTAAAGATAAAGTTATTTCATAACGAAGAGAAAATCTTTACTGAATCGTATAACGAACAGATTTATAGTTTATAGCTTTCATAAATACTGTTTTATGTGCTAACCGCGCGATAACTTTTAAAATGGTAGTAAGTATGGCCGTAATTTTTGCGTGAAGTGTCTTTAGGTACTTGGTTCGAAGTAAAGTTTATTAAGATTTTGAGAGGATTAAGCGATTTGTAGATATTATACCTACCTGTTACCTATGTATAGTAACTATGCAAATAAATCATTCCATTTATAACACAGTTCAAAGTCAGAAGAATACATAGAAAGAAGTTAAATTAAAATAGATTTATATTTATATTATAATGTTTTCGGCTTACTCACGTGATTATTTGACGAGAAACTCGACTAGTTTCAAGCCATGCTAGGGTCTCATATTCATGAGCAGAATTTCGCGACGCTACTGTAGTCAGTAGCAGCGCGACGTGGTGTCGCGTCGCATGAATATGAGCCTCTAGCATGGCTTGAAACTAGTCGAGTTCCTCGTCAAATAATTACGTGGGTAAGACGAAAACATAATAATATATTTAGTATGTCTCACGAAAGTTATAATACAAAGATTTATATTTACAAATCACATTCTAAAAATCGTAAACTATATATTTTTATCATGAAGGACAAGGTCTTAAAACAATGGGAAACATAACAATGGACAGTCAATGCTTCCGTTTTGGCGCAAACGATTCTGATCGCTACTTCATACCGTAAAAGGGGTGCGAATTGTCTGCGGGGAAATTGGAACCGATTCTATGACAATGACAACTAGCCGTGTGGTCTTCGCATGTAAAGTCATCCTCATCTCAATTTACCTATAGTTAAGTTATACACATAGACTACACAAATTCCACTTCCAAAAAGATTTCGATCTTGTCTGAAGTTCCATTATTGCCAAAAGGGGATTACATCTCTTCATCAGAAACATAACATAACATCACGCTTATTATCCCCGAAGGGGTAGGCAGAGGTGCACATTATGCCACTGT